TAGGACAGAGGTATTAGAATTGGAAGAAAACAGGTTTTAGGATGCACTAAGTTATTTCATTAAAATGTATCTAATCAGCATAACCAACGCAAGAAAACAAACCATCCGAATCTGCAATACGCTTCGTGCGCTGACCAGTAGATTTGTTTTAAACTGATGTATGAATCTCATCTGTTGCTCTAACCAGAAGTCGGCTGTATGATATTAATTTATCAATCAGTGGGAGGTAAACAAATTTCTATGGATGGTGCCACAAGGCTTCCATCTGTCGAACTTTAATAAACATTGTGATACTAAATGAAATAAATACAAAAGCATCCACCACGGTTTCATGGATAGAGGCTTGAAAAGAGGAAGTTGCATTCATAATTGTCTCGAAATGACACTCAAATCACTGAGTGAGGCGAACCATACTGATGTCCGTATTCCACGTAGTTAAGCAAACCATTAGCTTGAGCTGCCGTTGGTCACAGAGATGTTAGCGCCCCATTATGGCTACAATTTTTACTCAAAACACAAATGGATGGTAGGATATTTGCATCGTTTGAAAAGCTAGTCGTTATGCACTCAGTGATAAACTCCAGCGCAGAACATTTGAGACATCACGATCAGTTCGAAATTTAATGCTGATGTCTATGAGTTATTCGATAATCCACTGATATATTTTGGCCTAACGGTGTACAATTCTTAAGGTTCTACCAAAAGTGCACCTCTCCAAAGGCCCTCCTGTTTGTATGCATACAAAAGTCTTATGGGGGGCATCACTCAAATGTGAAGAACAAGAATGTGGCAAAAAGTGCCCTGGGACAGCGCCCATTTGCACGAGACACGGGACACTCCTGATGGGGCCATCAATATTAAAAAGTATTGGAAAATAACCCAGAATCTAACACCATTCTTGAATAATACAGCAGCTCACCGGTGATTCAGCTGAGCTCAGGAATGTTTTTAGAGTTGATTAGATTCGGCCTGTGGGTCGATAACTGATATCAGTATAAATGAAATGCAGGGAGGTTTCACAGCAGAGAGGCGACAAAGATCATATTACCAGTTCACAATTACCATCAGAAATCTGGATAATACATAGATCAACTGGTGTTACAAAATGAAAATTTCACCCTCGATAGAGAAGAAAATTACATGATACAATCATGCTTCGCCCTAAAACCTATTGTACAATCGACTGTCACGCTTCCAGGTTTGGAATAAAACCAATCTTTCAGATACTTGCACCAGAAATACGTTTCGCCGGAAGGATTAAAGCAAGAGTAAAGGGTTAGTGATCATTTCTATTAGTTTCAGCATGATCGGTATCCGTGAGTTTAACAAAGGATTGCTCAAATAGACTGACGGAAAATGCTACAAAACAAACGGCTTCTCAAATCCAGGAACTTTCAAGAAACTTAGAAGAGCGGAAAAAAGTAACGAGAGCGATTCTGGGCGCAAGTATATCTGTAGGCCGTTTTGCCCTGCAGGCGATTAATATCATTTTCTGACTTAGATTGCATTTAAGTTGCGTGCGCGTGCGTGTGTTGCGTGATGAGGTTAGCGTGACAATGAGCCTAACCTGATCTACAAACTGCATCCACTAACTCGTTGGGAGAGCGACATGGTCTGAAAAAGAAAATCAACACCGCAGCACATTGGTAATTAGTCCTGCAGTCATGATATAATATGAAAGCTGAGTGCAGAGAGTACTGGACCTTGTGTTGCTAGTCCTGAATGGGCATCATATTATGATCACAACTGCCTGTAAAAACAGCGAACAAAAGTTTCTAGTTTTCGACGAGAAATAGTTCCATTGCAGACCTAAAACTTTTTAAACCGGACCAGTTGTCGAAATGCGTCCTCAAATTCTAATCTCACGTTCAATGTGATGACGATCGTAAATTATAGTGAACGAAGTCTTAGGCAATTAACCTTTTATTCTCAGTTTTCCTTTTTACAGATCAGCGAATGTCCAGGCAGTGAAGATAGTGAAATTTGCGTCCCCGTCACTCGCGGCGAGTTTACTAAGAATTCACTCTCGGCGACTCAATGTATGTAACAGCTGTTGTACTCAGGTTAATAGGAGACGTGTTGGATAATAAAAAGATATCGTTTGCTAAAGCCATTATGTTGAAAAAGCATTATTTCAAGTAAACTTGCGGTTTTGGAGGTGTACGTCAGTCACACCGAAAAAAACACGGCCTTTGAGACAAACCCCCTCATAAAAGTTAGCATCGAACAAGTGGAAGTTGAGTTCACGAAGCAGCGTTGGATTTCTCGTATTGTATATGTCAGGACGCGCCCAGACAGGAAAAAAGCACACGTGCAGAGAGTGACGCATCCCCAAGGTCACCATCGGTACCGCACGTCCGGAAATTAGGTGAGTTGGCGGCTCTCATCAAACAAGGCTTAGCAACATACGATCAGCATAGTGGGCCTGAGAGTGTTCACGACCGGCACACCGCCATTGGCTGTACGGAGCGAACAAGTGAACGGCCATATTTGGCCATTTAGTCATCCTACATATTTTTGTGGGATTTCGTCCTGCTGATGATTCCCAATAAGGATGAAACAGCTGTACAGTGCTTCACGGCTTTTCAGCATAGATTGGCTTCACTTACAGGACAAAAAAGATATCCAGGAACTGACACGTGGCCACGCTATGTCAGGTGCGGTGTAATCGCATTCCTAAAGATACCGACACCATGGTTCTAAAAGAATTTGAGAATGTGTTCGGCAGTTCGCGTCCCAATTGGTCTCATGGTTTTAACAATGTTCCAGAATCCGCAGGAGCAATGAAATCAATGAATGATTTCGGTTTCTAAAATTAGAGGTGACGGTTTTTACTGAGGCATACAGCACATGCTGGTTTCTTCAAAAAACGACGTCACTTGCGTCCCATCAAGAGTTCTTTTATCGTTGCAGTCGAATGGCGCCCGATGGTAGCGAACATGTGATACCCTTTCAAAGATAATGAACGGTACAACATTCTTTGGGGATCATTCAAAGCTACATCACTTGCCACTCTGGCTTCACAATAATTTTCAGTAAATATAGATGTTTCATTCTGTCTGCTACTCTGATTAAATAAAGTGCCTACTTTAGGTGGATTTTGAAGTGTAAATATTGTCCATACAGTACTGATTTTCTGTAGACGCTACAGAATAGGGCGCCATCCCCTATACGGGACAGCAGGACATCCAAGAAAATACTATCTTTTATTTTTCAATTGCAGGCGCTAATTCGGGTCCGGCATGGATATTCTTAAACAACAAGTTGAACTGGTTTGCTTAGATATGCAAAACTGTCTTCCCCATAACGTCTATAAAAAACAAATCCCTGGATCAGTGATAATTGAGTGGCTCCCAAGTGACCAGTGAAGCTGTACATTAATGCAAGTCTCATGGATCTAAGCACTGCAGAATCGTCTGCTTGTCTGGCAAAAATACCGTTAGATTTAGCATGACCAATAGCTCTACAAAGCCTGAGTAAATCCCAGAGCCTTAAAGCTAAGCTGGGAGACTTTGCTGATCGTTGTGGATTCATCCAGTAGTCTTGTCTGTTAGGACACCAGTATATACGACGTATATGATGCCCAACTATTGTCACTGACATGGACTCTGGTTCAGTTGTCATTAGTGTGTCGGGGGATATTGGTGGCTTCAGTGAATTTATCAGTATTTGATCAGCTGGTATCTTGAAATTTCTAAGTACATCACACTACTAGCATTCTATAAGTAGCCCAGATTATAGAATAATTCACAGAACAAGTGAAGCTCCCGAGTAGCCAGCATTCGGGGGGTCAGTCAACTTGTGAGCAGACGATGTGAACTACTTGAGTAACACGTGCATTGCGCTATATCCTGCTGAAGTTTTAGCTAATCGCACCAATCACCAGCCGCTGGTGGCCCAACGTCGAAACCTCTACCCTGGAGGTCGAGGGTTCGAAACTCCTCAGATTTTATGATGATTCGCGACAGGCAAAAAACAGTCATAGGGTACTCTTAGGCTTTTCAGCTAAGATTGATCTTACTCAAAAAAACAAAATTTAAATTGCTGACAACCACTGTAAGTTGAATATTTGGCTGTTAGCCTGTTTGACGAGTTCGGCAAATGAAGGATAAATCTAACCTGGACTTTTGGGTCTACGACACTTTGATTCTTGTGTATGATTATTCCGGAATTGCAGTCTGATCATAGTCAATCTCGTTCGCATCCTGGTCTACTATCTTCCGTATCTCCCAACCTTCCTCACACGCTGGATGTTGAATTCTTCATGGCCCTTTTTGTAAACTAAGATTATTAAAGGAAATGTCTGAATAAATTTAGCTCTGTGGATTGTCGTAGCGTTGCATCATCTGGCACAGTTTGGAGTTTTGTCGCAGAACATGTTGCCTCCACCATTTAGTGAATGTTTCTTGAACTACAGTTGTAATTGCACGTCATGTTGTTTGCGTGGTTCCATGAACTTAGCAACGAAAACGGAGCGAAATCATCCATGGATCCGCAGATTCCGAAGAATGAATCCAGATTGGGAGGTCGACATTTTTTATTCGAGTGGTTTCCGTGTCCCCTGGGACAAGTCTAACCACTCCACCCTGAAGTAGAGACTCACTTATCAAGTTCAGTGCATATTGCATCTCGTCAAAACGGTTTATGTTGGATTCTAAATCTACTAATCGATTATGCTTAACTAACAGCTTTTCGACTTAAGCCGGACGTCAGTGGAAACCTATACATTCGTTCCCCTATGTTCAAAATCCTATTCAGTATCTATTAAGTCTCCGCAATGCACATGACCTAATGAGGAACGTTTACTTTAGAAAATACTATCGAAAACTCGTTCCTTAAATTGGCCTCCATAAAAAGTATAGAAACATACGATTGGTCAAAATGTGACCAATGAGAAGTAGCACATTATGAATAAAAAGCATATAAATTTGGGATGGCCTGCATGTATTGTTCATCAACCTGTAGGATGTTTCACACCTATGTTTACCACGGAATTTAGCATGGAGTACACTCGACAGCCCACAAGTCAGTACGTGGCCTACCATTCACCACATTCCGCACTTCCAAGGTTCAAGAAAGTTGTGGCGGGTGAAGAACATTTGTGTGCATCGAACAACGGAGACTCGGTGACAGGTACCACATTCCGACTTCCAAGGTTCAAAAAAGTTGTGGCGGGTGAAGAACATTTGTGTGCATCGAACAACGGAGACTCGGTGACAGGTAAATCTGCAACTCCGATAGAAACCATAGAGAATACAACCAAACAATCCACCCAAAATGGAGAAAATAAAGCGGTCAATATTTTCACACTGGAGGGTGATTTTGAAAACCGTCAGTCTTATTCCGAGCCAGGAGAGCAACGAAATCTGATTTTACCCAAGACTAGATGCGAAAAGGCCAAAGGATATTGCAAAGCATTTATTTCATTCCTCTTTTCTCATATTGGACTTTGTCTACTTGTCATTGGTTACTGCGCACTCGGAGCAATAATTTTCTTGCGTATCGAGAAAGATCATCAGATTGGTAGCATTATGAAGCATAGATGCAATGTGACGAATGCAACCCAACAGATCCAACGATTACTCGTAGAAATGCAAAAAACGCTTATAAAAAACTGTACAATCTTCACTATCCAGTGGATCGCCGAATATATAAACAGAAATCCCGATCAGGCCAATACCACTTCACTCATTCGGTTGCTGCAGCCATATGAGGAAGAACCTCGTAGGCAGATAACAAATTTTTCGCTAGGATACCCTGAGGAAAGGAGCCCGTTTGAACCATTGGTCAACAAATCATCCGGTCCACTTGCCCAGTTATTCGATCAGCTAGATCAAATCCAAAGTGAGATCGTACAACACTTTCAACAACAGGCCATGAACTTTAGCGGAAGTCTCATAATTGCCACATTCGGTGCCTTTGAGGATGGGTGGAAACCGAGAGATCAGGGTGCATTTTCTCTGCTCCACAACCTCAACGTTTCCCGTTCGACAAACCACAGCATGTGCTGTAGTGCTCAGTGCGCTGACTTGAGTGAATCCGAGAAGCATCAAGTCATGTGGACATTAACCGGAGCACTCCTGTACGCAACTACCGTGATTACAACAATCGGTAAGTGAATATCATGTTCAAATGCTCTGCATTGTTCAAAACACCATTTTGAGGGAAAATTGTGGTACAGAATTGCTTGTGCAGCAAGCACATCGACATTCTGTCTCCATTGTAACTTATCATCGTTGGCTTCTCTTCGATTTAGTCTGTGCCCCAAGTAATTTAAAAGGGAAGTTGGTAGCAAAAAACGCAATTAATCTGGCGCAACTCTCTACCTGTTAAGTTGCAGGTAGTCCCAGCTGACCGACCTACTTGCGGCTGTATCACATGCAAACAAATTTTACTTCTTTCTGGTGAACGAACCTTAGATTTTTGAGCAGCTGTTGCTCAGAATCTTAATACGAATGCGCCAGTATCTCATTGGTTCAAAGTGCCAGCGCGGGCGAAACTGACAACAATGTTAGATAAGGCTAATGTGCACACGGACTGTCATCATTGTAGTGAAAGGATGGAAGTTCAATACACGTACGGCTGTTTAATTAAATACTTCCGGACAACCTACTTTATTTAATGTCCAGGCTTATCTGAAGCTGAAAATACTACAAAATCGCAACTTTCAAAAACGTTTGTGCGGAAATCTATTAACAGCCGAGATCAATGAATGAATTTACATTCAGTTTTTTGGTAATTTGTGGCCACTTCAATAGATGCTGATCAGCGTCCCTCCTAATGACAAACGGTGATAGTAACTAGCATTACTGCCTTAATACTATGCAAACAAAGCAATCTGGAGAAAATGAATCTTGATCGAACGGGATTCGTTAGGAAACAGTAGAGGCCGCCGTAGCCAAGAGATTCGGCTGAATTCTGTTGAGTGTTCCGTCAAAATTAACTCAGCGTATAAATCTGAACATTTGGTGAATATTTGATGTTGTTTTTACTTAAGGTCCTCGGCTCGCTAACCCGAGTGAAAGCATCCAATCCTCACATGCCGCAGTATTTGGTGTAGACATTTTCTTTTTCTTTTTGTCAGACCCACTCGCCCGCGTACCTTCAGACATATCGATCCAAATTTATCTTTTTTATGATTCTAAAAAGACCAACTGCTTCATTATAAGGGTTTCCTAGTGACCTGGACACTTAAAGATGTTCGTTGAACGAAACTTTTCTGGCTCGAGGCTCTCAGGATTGGAATAAAAAATTTAGACCCGAAAACATTTTTTCGAGGTACACTAGCCTGTACGTCATTACTTCTGAGATACTTTGTCTTACAAAATGAACCAAACACAATCAGAACTCGTCTCAACTCGCAAGAAGCGATGTCACATTAGCAGATGAAACCAGAAACACCAATGAGGTGGATGTTTCATTTTTTTGATTGGCATTTTGGGGGAAAAGCCTCTTCCGTTCCGTTAGTGAACAGTGCCGTTAACACAAACGGCACACGGGATAAAACCTTTGACAGTGAACGCTATCAAGTTACTTACTCTTGATTTTGAAAGAACAAACTCAGGGAAATATTATCCAAAAGTAAATGCCTGTTTGAATAAATCCATTTTTCTGAGGTTCTATGAATAAACAAAAAGTCAGGCTTTAACCAAACCATTACTAGCAAATGTGTCCTAAAAATGTTACTGGCTGTAAATCACCGGTTCGTTTGTGGATGAATATATGTCTCAATTCAAAATTTTGCTTCTGTTGTGTCCATTCACCAGCCCGCCTATGTGCAAAATTAGGTGAAATTTCTTCGGCATTTTCCTTCGATAATTTTACAATTTTGCACAACCGTATTTTTAACTATTTCAATTGCTTGCAAAATGTAAGATATTATTTGTTGTTTAGCCAACCATGATGAGAACTTTGTGCATAGTTTCAAGAATTTTTAAATGAGAATGGGCAGCTCACACACGGAAAATGCAGTTGCCTTTTATTGTCTTGTTGCATCATACAGACGAAGATTGATAGCGTTCAACGTGACGACCGAAAATCTTGTTCATAAGGACATCAGTGATTGGATAATTAGCGAAAGGATCAGTGTAAAAGAAGTGGCGGAGTATCACATTTGGAGACTTCGACGCGTAGTTCTTTCATCTTGCTATAATTCGAATAGCGTCAGCATCATTCTGGTGGAGATAAAAGGTTGCAGTTTGCCTTAAAAAATGTTGAAAGCCATATACAGTTAATACTGAGCTACTCATTTGTTTAGAATGTAGGCACTTTTAATCGGAGATGAATAACTGTTCTGTGCTAATTTGTCCGCTTACCGGTGTGAACTTCACTCTAAAGTGCTGCACTTGTTTAGTAGATATTCTTCCTTAAGAATGTGATGATTCCGACAAATACACCCAATCAGTCCAGTGTGGGTCAACCTAAGGTTGAAGCATGCTCAATAACCTGATGAGCCTGAAGAAGGGAGAAACCGGTCGTGGGCTGGCAGTAATTTTGTAAGTAGTTTTATGTCCGAGGGTAATGATTGATTTACTTCCAAAACCAAGTAGTTTGTTTTAGGGTAGCTTAATGTAGGTCGTGAAAATTTAACCCACGTTACACAGAATTATTCTTGAAAATAATATTTTTTAATTGCCGGCATTATTAACAGCACGAGTTTCAGCATTTTTTGAAGATACACCGAAGAACTAGGGTGCATACAGAAGTGAATTCCAAACCACATGTTCATGGTCAAATCGAGTGAAACAGATAGGTGCATTTTCCTGCAGATCGGATTAAGGCGAGATTTAGTAAAGTACTTCTCCTGTCTGCAGGCTGAAACATTGTCCAGTATAGTTGACTGTCATTCTTGAACACACTACCGAAATGTTGCGAGTAGTTAGAGCGCGAATTATTGACCAGGAGGTCCGTCATTCGAACTCGACCTCTGCATCTTGACCTCCCATGCCTAGACTTAGGCAACCTTTAGGTGATGTGGCAGATGAGCACCGGAAAGGTGTTTAAGCTTAACCGTTGTTTTTCATTACCAAAGATACC